GCGTCTGGTCAGTGCTTCATCTAAATATCCCGGTGAACAGAGGGCGTTATGCGGGCTTTTTCGACAAGCTTAGGTGGACCGTAATGGCTATTCTTTTCCCGGACACAGTGCTCGTGATTGCGGCAAGTCAAATGTTGTCAGCCCGTGCACTACGGAAAGAGCTAAAAGCACTACAGTCACAGAAGAACGAGTCTTGCTCCATTGTTCGTGCCCAACTATTGCTGTCTTGCTTTCTATGCACCGAACACCTAGCTAATCAACAGTATTTCGAACAGGAAGTTCCGCTTAACTTCTGTTTCTTCGTCGAAATGGGCGGGTTTCAAGTTGACTTGGACCTGGAAGAAATCAATCTCGGTCCAGACTTTATGAAATCATGCCCAGGGAGGTTGCCAATATCTCCTGCCGGCTTTTTGAAGTTGATAGATATGGAACTGCTGGACCTCAAAACCATGATCAAGCGTGCGAATGTACCTGAAAAGAGCAAAGCAAACGTATTCCAAAAAGTCTTGATTGCCACTCAAGTCTTGTGGATGATAATACAATGCATCGCTCGAAAGGTGCAAGGGCTCCCAATCATACTTTTGGAGATACATACGATGGTCCATGTGGTATGCGCATTGGTGGTGTTGCTATGCTGGGCTTCGGTAAGGTGTCGCAATTGAAGTCGCTACCAATCCATTATTAACCAAGTCAGAAACCTCTTGATCTCAATACTCCCGAGCTTTTGGGCTCGGATTCTGACGATATTTTGGGACTCATAAGTCTTGCGATTCAATCACAATTATGCCCCAAACTGAAATTCGTTCTTGCAGATCCGCAAGACAGCCACAGTCACCCCGTTGATAATTATGCCCCAGACGTAACTTCGAACACCGCTGCAAGACAACAAGACTTCGTTCAATCTCATCTTGCGGTACAAAGAGAAATTCGACATTCTCTATATCTTCCGTGGGACGGAATCCTTCCATTCCGTCTCAAATATGACAATGGGCGCGGGCCACCTTTACATCTCCTGCCAACAGACATCCGTCGTCTGCTGAAGGCAACACAGTTTCTCCGCGATCATCGCGGAGCGGACTTGCAATCTCACAGCCAGGCTTTTCCTAGCTCTGAGTTTGGCTCATTCTTCTCTGCAGGGGGCAACTATGCTTTTAGCATTGCTGACCGATACAACGACTCAGACTTGTGGTTTAATGCTTTCGTGGTTACGATTGGACCCTGGTTCTATGGTCACGAAAAAGATCGGACTTTGGGAGATCTCGGTTACCGCTTCTCAGTGTCCACACTGCTTATCACCCTGATATACAGCGGACTGCATCTGTCTGGATGGAGCGGAAAGTTTCCTACACAAGCCGAGGAAATCTGCTGGAAAGCAGCAAGTATCATGCCCTTCGGAAATTTCGTCATTGTGACTTTGTACTTCTATCTAGACTTGGAAGGTATCATCGAAAAGGTCATAATGTCTACTTTGTTTGTATTTGGGGCGTTGAATGTGGTTGCGCGGCTTTATCTGACTGTTGAAGCCTTCGCAAGCCTGCGCAATCTCCCAATAGGCGCCTATTCAATGCCCGTGTGGTTGCAGTTATTTCCTCATCTGTAATATCACGTCGTTTGAATCGGGGTCACTGTAACAACCGAGTTTTCTAGCGAAGTTTTACTTCTTATAACAACAGAGACGCACTACGTATATTAGTGAGACTAGCAGGCATTAAATATTAGCACCTCAAGAACATTTAACTACAGCATTAATAAATATTTTGAACGGCATGCATACATAGATGGGGACTTCTATCGTCTGTCGCATTGTAGCCTGAGACAAATGGGTAAATAAAGTCCAGGAAGCTCACCCACGAAAAAACAAGGCACTAGGTACACATGCTAAAAAGGATTGTCCTCGGAGAGGCTCGAACTCTCGACCTTTGGATATCTCTATCTTAGACAGAGTCATATTGAATAATATGAGACCAACGCTCTACCGACTGAGCCACGAAGACCGCTTGATATTGACAGCCCAGTCGGTAACGTCTGATGAATCGAGGCCGGGACGGTCAACAGGTATATAACATTCCAAGAGGCAAAAGATTGACCAGCCTGGGGGTCGAACCCAGAATCTCCTGATTTCACGATTGAATCGTAGTCAGACGCCTTGCCATTGGGCCAACCGGCCAGTTGTTACTGGGACGTTTCCTAGTGACTGTTGAGAAGCTCGGCGGGGAGCGAGGTCAAGAATGTGTGGCATGCAGAGTTTTCACGATGGAGGCGGGTGGATGCAGAGAGCGGACCGTCGTTTGCGAGAGAAATGAAATTTTGCGGTTGGCGACGAAAGTGTGGATAGAGGCGTGGCTTCGGCCCCGTCAACGGCGTTCACTGTTCGGGGTGGAGCTTGGTTCGGGGAATATTCTGCTAGCGCCGTCGGCGAGGTGTGGAGATGCCGAAGATGGAGCCGGCTAGAGCTCTGCGAGAGGAAAGTGGAATGAAGTTGGGCGGAAGGCGTGGTTAGTACCTAGAGAGTAAAGAGACCCATAGGAACTTGGGGGTAAAGATTGCTATTACACAGGGGCTAGTTCGAAAGTCATTGCCCGCAGAGAGCTGTCGGGAGCGTTTGGTCTTGCTGACTCCATGATGACACTAACAACACATGCGTGACCGCGTCTTCCTAATTAGACGTTTCATACGCGCGCTTACCCTTTCGAAACCCTTCGGAGAGATGTTGAAGACCGTCGACTTGCACTCCCACAACGGGATTTTGCCCAGCTCCGTCCCCGGTGATCTTAGCCGGTGGCCGATGGGTATCCCGGAGCCGAGCCCGCACACCCCTTCAGACGAGACAATACACTTAAACTCGATCTTCTAAGAATTACAAAGATCGATGGCAATATGGCATTTTTATTGATACACGTGGTCGATAAAAGATGGTGTCAAGTTTCATCTCATCTAGACACAAGTGTGTCTCAACCCATCGCCATCACGGCATGCAAGTCTAGAACAGACGACGATCCGCCCGAGAATGCAACCTCACTTCGGCCAAAACGGTAGAACTCAAGTCTAAGTTAGCCCGACTGATAGAATCCGTGTGCCAACCTGGTTGTGTCTCCCACGGATGTCTCCGTCACTCAGGCTCGCCGGGCGTCGCCGTCGCGGGCCGCCCCTGGCTCGGAACGGAGCCAGTGCTGCAAGCACTTTCACTAACGTCTCGTGATGCGACCCTCACTCAATTGCGACGGCCTCTAAACTACAGGCTGCGGACGTCGAAAAAAGAGGGTGGCTGGGGCTTCGGCCGGGCAGGCACTCGTCGATCGGCGACCATGTCGTGAGCCCAGACAACCCACCCACAACTCCCATGTGGCAGCTACTGCTGCAGGGGTTTTATCTGCCCTTCCCGCTGATTAACTACCTGTCCTCCATCATGCTGCAGTCTGGCCCAACGCGGAAGGGATTGCACGCCGGCTCCTGTCAGCAGTATTGCACCTATTTCCTCATTTTGCTGGATGCCAGCACAGAAACGGAGCAGACATTGTGCGCTGCATGGCGGTGCGCGAATCCAGAACGTGAGTCCGGGGGATGGTTTCCAGGGAAGGAAGGAGAATTTTGATGCGTGTTCGGAGAATTCCACTCAGGGAAAGAGATGCGTGCTGCGGGGTAGTGCTGACGGAGCACACAATAAGCATATCGCTGCATGCAGGTCCCGGGGGTTTTTGATGTCTGGTGTGGTGAAGGTCCGAAGGCTTTGGACAGGATTGCTGTTGATGGGTGCGTGTGGGAAGTCCGATTTTTGGGGCCTTTTCTTGTCTTTGCCTCTGTCAGTTTTGGGTGTGACATCAAGTGGGATGAAGCCGCGTGTTCGGACGGGGCCGCTGTCAATTGAACTCAATCCAGGTGGGGGAACTAAAACTGGTGATACTTCTGCTGTGTCGACTTTGTGTTGGCGTATCATCATTTCTCAGTACTATCGAGTCTCAAATGCGATCCAACGGTCCCAAAGCAAACTTGAATGTTCCAAGGTTTCGGAGTCATGGTAACCAAACTCGCCTGTTTCCCATCAACATCTCGGGGCCGAGGCCTCCCAAAAGCCAAGACTTACTTCTTTTTACCCACAAGCACGCAAGTGAATCTAATTGTTTCGTTTCTCGTACTCAAGCACCATTCTACCATTCCGGCAACCCAGGCCTACGATCATAACAGGCGCATTATACCCACAATGCTGAAGAAGCTGGAGCCTGTGGTCGTTCAAGATAGGATACCAAAAGCGGGGGTTTCATATCAGCAACCCCTGCAGATTCTCTCTAGACGCATGCATCCCCATCAGGAGGCTTGGGCCGAGGCCGAGGTGAGGTTCGACGTTATCGTCCGATAATTATTCCGGCAGCAGAATAAGATGGGTGGGTGCCTGCCTCAGCAAGGCGAAGAGTGTGTAAATGGAAACTCCCTATTGGCCTCGCGCCGGAACACTCCCGGCGGCAGGACGGCAGGAAGGAAGGGAAAGAAAGGTGTGGATGGGGCCGGGATAAAGAGGATGGTGTGGGTGATAATGCATCGCTTTTTCTCCTTCGACATTTTGCCTCCTTCTTGTTTAGGGAGGGCTGCGATGTGGCAACCACGGGAGGGATGGGTGCGGCTAGTTGAGATGATAAATATACGATTCGGAATGTGCCTTTCTTGTGAGAACTTGTGGTCTGTGCCTCTTTAACTACCGATTCATCGACGACATGGTGATATTGTGACGAGTCGTGCGTACCATGGCTCAGATCCCGGAAGACGCCGTGGGCACGGTCGTTGGGGTCCTTATTTACTCTGTTATATGTCTCTTGGGGAGTCTGATGGTGGTATGGCTTGCTTGGCAGCACGGTGAACGGATAAGCTGTATGTTGCGTTGAACAAGAAATGACTTCCAACACTGACTGAGGGATCCAGATGTGAATTGTTTGGCATACTTCACGACGCTGAGTACGGTTTGCTCCATCATACAGCAAACTCGACTCGTCTTGTATTGGGAGGACATCATGACGGCTCGGTTTGAGTATGCAGCGACCAATGTTGCTAGTCCTGAGGCTGTGATATCGAATGCTGCGATAGGGGAAGATTTGGTGCTGTACTACATTCGTAAGTTTACAATGGAGTCACGTTGAATTACCACTGACATGACCAAGAATACTACTGTTACAACGTGCTTGCGTTGTTTGACATGTTCTGGTATGGATAATCGTGGGAATGCGAACGATAAATGCGTGATTCTGACCAGAAATTCAACAGGGCGTTCGCATTAGCGCAATCCGTCTGGGGTCTGAATGAGAAGCCGAAACTCAAGAGGCCACTTCTGATCATCAACCGAGTCGGCAAGGTCTTTTCGCCCTTGTTCCCTCTGATAACGACAACTTGCCTGCAAGCTCCGTCAATACGGAACAATTTTGGAGGATTCTTGCTACTCGCTGGACAGCCATGTAGGTTAGCTGTTTCTCACGAAAATTGGAAGAAGACTGACAGCAACAGTGCTATGGAGCATCGGCTTTGGCAGCGTTGCAACATTGGCCATATTGATACGATACATCCAATCTCGACGAAGGCTGCAGAAGCTGAACGTCGGTTACGGCCAGCCGTCATCTTCGAGAGGAACCAGCGGGCACAAGCCCCGCAAGACGAGTATCTACGACAGGTGGCTCATGCTGCGATTCATGATTTCGTTTGTGATTCTGGCGTAAGTTGCATGGCATTCTCCCGAGATATCACGGAGAACGCTAACTCTGGACAGTATGTTTGAAGTCACCATCATGCTGTTTTCGACGAGCGCGAGAAAGAACATTGCCGTGGACCACGCCAGGCTGACGCCAGACATCTCCGCCAAGCGAGCGCGGCAAGATTTCCTCCTCTTCATGCCCGGAGTCACGGCATCTCTGCTTGTGTTTCTGGTCTTTGGCACCACGAAGCCGTTCATTGAATACATGCGCAAGTGCCTCTCGAGATTCTTCACGAGACGCCCCAGGAGGAGGACCGCGTCGACGGAGGCACTGCCTCTGCGGTCGATACGCAGTCAAGACACCATGGCGGAAAGCTGCGGCGTGACGACGCCCGAGATGTCTCACCAGCGAAGCTTCCGGGGGATAGTTGTGGATAGTCCCGGTGGAAGAAGGACATACGAGGTCTGGGTGTACGGGGGTAATCCAAATGCGAGGATCGTGGGGGACCAGAACTGCCCATGTCATTCCGAGAAGGTATGACGCCATTAAAGGGGACTCAGCCGTGTCTTGCATTGCGTCAGGGGTTTCCAGCTTGTTATTAGACAGACAGACGTCAAAAAAAGTAATCATGACCAGAGAGGTAGATATCCCTGGCCGGTGAGACGAATCTGGTCGGCGAAGGGTGACACGACACGGAGCTGAGCGAATCACTTCCGTTCGCAGCGAAACATGGCAGCGTTCTGGACCTTTGGACTAGCGTTGCAGAGCGCTGGAGAAGCAGCAAGCTACGGGGAGCTTTCCAGACAGCGACAGCCAGTCCCCTGACTCTCGCCCAATCAGACGGGCCGAAAGTGACCTGCTACAGGGGGAGGTACCCACTAGTGACATAAGGCTGCTGCGAACGGCCGAGCGCCTGCACTAACAGGAACCCCTACGGCGCGTCACCACGCTGCGATAAGGCCGATAAGGGATCACACAGTACCTTACACACCTGACGAGCTCCAACCTTATCGCGACATCATCCTCGTCCCCTACACCATCCCATCTACCTACACTACCCGCCCGTCCTCCCGTTCCTCCATCCGCCCTCCGTTTCCCTTTCGCACCCTGCTGGACCTGACCACCTATTATCGCAGACCTCTTTGCCCTTTTCTTCTAAATATGCATCGATTCAATTCCTGACCATCCCCGTGAAGTCAGCAGAACCCTTTTGGCATCCACCTTTTCCTTCTTTCTTTTCCCCATTCAACATGGCGAACTCGCCGTCGCAGAGCCGGAGCGCAGCCTCGTCCACCTCCGCCGGCCGAGACTCCCTTTCACATTCCAGAGACCGCCGCGATCCCGCCCCCTCCGACTCCGCCTCCAACGCCGCCGACCCCGTCCCGGTTGAGACACTGGTGGAACACCTGCTCGCCGCCAAACGCTCCCTCTCGTCCATGACGGCCGTCCTGCGCGCCAACGAGATCGCCACCGACGCCCGCCAGGCCCACGAGGAGGCCGTCGTCCTGTACGCCGAGAGCCAGTTCCTGAAGCGCGCCATCGCGGAGCAATTGGCGCTGCTGATGAAGGTCCGCCGCGGCCTGAAGAGGACCTACGATGCCGGCAAGCGCGACTTCAAGAACCTCGTCAAGACGATGGATGCGACCAACGAGAAGCTGCAGGATACCATGGCGATGCTGAAGAACACGACCGTCGAGTCTGTGTTTAGGCCGCCCGGGGAGGAGAGGCGGAATCTGATGGATTTCGTGGACGAGAAGAGCGTCCACGTCATGGTCGAGGCTCTGAAGCAGAGCCTGGGCGAGCTGCAGGTGCGTCGTCTATCCGATTGCATCCATGCACACAACTGACGTTTGATGTACAGGCTATCCAAACCTCATTTGACGGCGACCTGCTTCGATTCGACGACGACCTCCGAGCCCTCAAAAAGACGATAACGACGACACCCTTACCCCGATCGCTATCGAATTCTTCCCATCACGATCCGATCCCCGAGCTGCTGGTGTCGCTCGTCGAACACTCGCACTGCATGGCGCAGCTCCTGACATCCCTTACAAAACACTTTGACCTCTGCGTCACGGCGGTGCGGACGACAGAAGGCGGCGCAGCCCTCGCACGCCGCAGGGCGGCGGAGGTGACGCAGTCCCAGGGCGGCGACGGCGTCTCGATCTCGGGCGTCATCGCCGACCAGGAGTCGCACATGCCGGACCTCGAGCCCATCACGACGCAGGACCGCGCCGACATGCTGGACATCGTCGTCAGCGACGCGGCCGAGGTCGACAGCGTGATCCAGGAGATCAACGAGCGGCTGCACGCGATGGAGGAGGACTTTGCGGCGCTGACGGCGCAGACGGGGCAGACCAAGGCCGCGTTCCTCGGCACGCTGGACGCCTTCACGGCGCTCGAGGAGATTGGCGGCCGCGTGGCGAGCTACATCGCCAGCGAGGCCGAGTTCCTGCAGCGGTGGGAGGACGAGCGGTTCACCATCTACGGCAAGCTCGGGGAGATGGACGACCTGAGGGACTTTTACGAGAAGTACGCCGGCGCGTACGACAACCTCATCCTGGAGGTCGAGCGGCGGCGGCTGGTGGAGGACAAGATCCAGAACATCTGGCGCAAGGCCAAGGACAGCGTCGACAAGCTCGTCGACAACGACAGGCGCGAGCGCGAGGGGTTCCGCCAGGATATCGGGGAGTTCATCCCGACGGACCTCTGGCCTGGTATGGACGCGGGAATGAAGAGGATGGAGCTCGTGGCCGTGGTCGACGATGGGTCCGCAGAGGAGGATGCGGGCGGCGGCGGGTCGCGGAGCACGCCGGCGCTGGACCGGAGCGTTGTGGATGCGGCGCGGGACAGGCTGGAGCGAAGCCAGCAGCGGTAGTAGCGTTGTAATGTGTAGCGCTTTGTTCCGTTATGTGTTTTTTTGTTTTAGGATTATTCTGGATGGGTCGTTCTCCTCTCTTTCTTTCATTTTACTGGCGTTCATAGATAGGATGATTGGCCTTCAGCTAGGCTCAGGAATGGAATTGGGCTGGGAATTCGGCACGGCGGCGATCTGTCTTTTTACGGGTTTTTTACTTCCTACCTGGCTGGCAATGTCGCTTTTTTCATTCTTCTCCGCTTTGTATGAGTTTGTCGTAGTAGTGGTATTCTTAGCCCTCGTAGGATCGACAATTTCACGTCTCTGGTTGTCTAAGAATGGCACGAGGCCCTTTTTGGGAGACCGCCCTTGTCGTCTATCTCTTGCGTAGGATTGAGGGACACCACGGTCACACTTGGGGGCGCAACCGAGTGTACTGCCCGGGTTCGAGACATTCGAATAGTGACAAAATGTAACAATGGCAGAAACGATGGCAGAGACGACGGCAGCAGCAGCATTGATTATGGTGACGACGATACTAGCCACGACAACGGCAAAGGCAGAGGGAACGCAGTCGCTGTGGCAAAGTACAAACAGATGGCCAGTGGTCACCGTATTATCATCGATAGTTTCAACGCATGAGCGGTTATTGTGTGCGATGCTACAGCGGCAGACGATGCGCTGCAACAGTCTGCGACAGCAATGATTGACAAATGGGGGTCATTAGCTGACCAAAACCCCGATGCTAGCCAACAACAAGTTTTAGGCTCGAGGGGACAGTTATGTTATTCGCCGCATGTCCCTGCAAGAAAACCTGCAAATCATGGCTCTGGTGGAGGAAACAGGATGTGGGCGAGGGATGATGCATGGCCTGGGCCGATTTTGCGTGCTTGGCTGGGCTGCGGGCGACCGGGGTTGCGATGCCGATATCCGAGGGAAATGTCTCGGCCGGGCGGTGGTGTTTCGTTTGGCATGCAACAGCAGAGGCTGCACATTGTGCACTTTGTTAGACGTCGTGTGTCCGTAGGAGCAAGTGCACAAAGCAATTCGAGGCAGCCGAGTGCCACGGCCGGTGAGATGCGCACATGTCTAGCGGTTCATCTCATCTCATCCCATCGATCGACGTCTGTCCGAGATTGGCCCTCGTTAGACCCTTCGATAGACCGTGACCAAGAAAAAAAACCATCTGCAAACAGCAGGTTATGTAAGCCAAGATTTCGACGATTGCTGGGGCCGCCAAGACCGGGATCTTCCCAGACAAAGCCTTGGCCCGTGACTCTCGGCAATTCGACGCGTAACCTGCCAGTATGAGCATTGAGTAGGCGGAGCGCCTTTCCGCCCCCTGGTCGCTTTCCTCAAGTTCAGCTTGCATCGACACAGCTAGCAGACGCAGCAGCCAATCCCGTGTCTGCAATCTGCTTTAGTCTTTGTGCTTTTTTTTGCCCGTGCACGGCGAGTGGTAACGTCATTGGACAGCTTGAATTCGGCAAGGCCGCAGGGGCCACCGGGGGGTCCTGGGAGGTGAAGCTTAAGCCTAAAAAGTAGCGGAAGGTACAAGGGGGGACGGGTGGGCAGCCGGCCGGCGCCAAAACAGCTCCGTCATTGAATCTAAATCATTCCACGCGCCAAACACCTGAGACTGTTATATCCTCTGCGACCAATTTCTTTTCTCTGCTAGCTGTTTACTTACCTCCCATTGTCATCCATCTTCGTCTTCGTCTCGCCAGCCTCAGCATCGCACACCCCGATATACAACAGTGAAGACAGCAACGATAGGCGCGGCTCCATCGCCAATCGTCCACCGGGACCAATGTCGCAACCGTACGGCGAGTCAGCTGGCTACTACGGTGGCCAGCAGCAGCAGCAGCAGCAGCCCTACGATCCCAAATACGCGCAGCAGTACAACAACGGATACCAGAACAACGGCTACCAGCAACCGCACCCGCCGCCGCAGCAGCAGTTCACATACGACGGGGGTAATGGGTATAATGGCAGCAACGGCTACGGATACAATGCGCCGCCGCAGGGCTACGACCCGGAGAAGTACACCTTCGAGGAGGCCTTCAAGGTTGAGAAGCCCAAGTGGAATGACCTTTGGGCCGCTATTTTGGTAAGCTGGGATATCGTCACCTCATCGCCCTTCGCCTTCGCCCTTCCTCTCATTCGTTCCCGTACTTCAGTACTGACCCTCCGTAGTTCTGGCTCGTTTTCCTCGGGTTTGCGGCAGTCTCAGGCCTCACCATCTCTGGTTACAGCCAGACCAAGTCCTTGAATGGCGGCGGCATCTACGACGGCGGCAACACTTTCGGCCTCTCCACTAACACGATCGTCCTCTTCGCCTTCTGCCTCGCCGTCGCCGTCGTCCTGAGCTACGGCTACGTATGGCTTGCCCGCCTTTTCCCCAAGGCCTTCATCTGGGTCACGGGCATTCTTAACATCGTCTTCGCCTTCGTCACTGCCATCTACATGCTGTCCAGGAAGTACTACTCCGGCGGTATCGTCTTCCTCATCTTCGGCGTGTTCTTGGTCATCGCCTTCATCAGCTGGATCCCGCGCATCCCCTTCTCGGCGCTGATGCTCAAGACCTCGATCCAGGTCTCCAAGAAGTACGGCCACGTCTACCTCGTGTCGTTCCTGGGAGGCATGCTCGGCGCCGCGTTTGCTGCGTGGTACTCCGTGACGC